TTTATTGTTATATTATTATATAGGTACCGTAATACAATTTTACTTTTTATTTTATGGATACCACTTCTGTGGTATTAACGATTAAACTCATCGAGATTGCCAGGCTGTTACGAATATGGTCCTCTCCTGTCCTCGGATTGCTGATGTTGGGCACATTTCGTCTTGATCGTCGAGTCGACGGTGAATCCTCGCCCTCTCGTTGAACAGCAGGTTGGCCGGGACCATTGAGGCGAGAATTCAGGACGCTTCGGTGGAGACGGTGCGATTTGCTCTGACGGTTCGGATAGTGACCTTCCGCTGATCCTTTGCCAGTTCAGCCCTGTTCTTGGCCGTCTTGGTGGCCTTAGGGGCCCACGTCGGGGACGCGTAGAGCAATTTGCTGTTGGCCACCGTGCCTAGGAGCGCTCTTTTGCTCTACGACGGTCCCCCGAGGTTGAACATCAGCCTGCCTATTTGAAGTGCGGACTCCGTGGCTTTGCGTGACGCCTGCTCTATGTGCTTGGTGAACATCAGCTGCGAATCTAGCTCGACGCCGAGGTAGCGCATGTTCCGGCTGACCGGTACGGCATATCCATTGACGAATAGCTCGGGGGTTGAGCGGTCCTGGAGGTAGGATCTGATCATCGAGATTAGACGGGGGAGAACCAGGTTGCCCCGGAGCGTGGCGTCTATCAGCGGCCAAGGTGCCGTGTTGAAGGCATTCCTTACGTCGAGTGAGACCGCAACGTACAGATCCCGGTGTTGGACGGCGCCTAGTCCCAAGCCGTTTGCCGTCTCGAGTAGCCGCTCGATCGTGTCTCCTGTTGACCTGCCGGACCGAAAGCCGTACTGATTGGGAGACCGGTGGCCAGTGAGATTGAGGTGCTGGTCAAGCCTTGTCAACAGCTTGTCGGCTGAGTCCAACATACAGAGTGGTCTGTAGCTAGATGGTTCTGTCATTGGCTTTCCGAGTCCTTTATGCAGGAGTACTAACCTCGCCTGTTTCCATCTGATATGAAAAGTGTATTTCTCCAGGCAGGTGTTGAAGGCGTCGACCGCTGCTGTTTTGGCGAGGACTTCGTTTGGGACGCCGTCGGGTCCGGTTGCCTTGCCGGGAGAAAGTCTCTTGCAGGGTAGCAGCAGTTCGGGCATGGTGAACGGTCACGCTCGTTGTTCGCCGTCCTCTGGGTCTTCTGGTGGGAGCGGGGTAAGCTGCCAGTCGGTGGGAGGGTGATTTGGAAAGAGTTGGTCAGCTATTGCGGACTCCCAGTCTCGCGATTCGGTTCCCGGGCGATTGCGGCCTATGCGCTTTGTCACCACTCTGAACAGAAGTCCGCAAGGGTCAGAGTCGACGGCGGCGCAAAGTTCGGACCAACTCTTAGCCTGGGAGGTTCTTATTTCCGTTTGGAGCTCTTTCCTGTTGGTTGTATACGCTTCGCGGAGATGTTGCATCTATTCAGGGGGCTTCAGTCTTCGGCCCCTTGGTAGGTTACCTGCCTGCTGTGCTCAGCGCGAAGCGTTGCTATGCCATCGTTTCACCAATGGACCTGCTTCCTGCCTGCAGGAGGTGGGGCTCTGGGTGACATACAGGAGTCGCAAGCTGCAGAGAGGTACGTGGCCATCTGGTCGGCAGCTTCGTCCGCGGTTGTAGTGGCATTGGTTTGAGGAGTTGGGAAGGCGACCAGGTGAGCGGCCAGAGCTACTGTGTCCAGACGTCTGTAGGACCACCCTCTAAGTCGCTCCGGGGGATAGCGTGGTACAGGAGCCGGTTGTAGCTGGAATTGTATGTACATGTGGTCGTAGATTCGACCTCGTCCATGGCCCTCCGCCTTCGAGTTCTTATACCTAGATCATTGTGTAAACACTCAATATTTACTCAGTATTTACACAAACAATATTGTTGTCCGTACTTTACACCGTACTTAATACAATATACTATATTACATATATATATAAATATAATCTATACATAAAAATATAGATACATTATCATTATTTGCATGAAATGTCCTCATATTGTTTTAAAATATAATAAAATACCTAAAATAATAAATAATCGATTATCATTGGTTAAAACAAAAAATATAATCTTGAAGTACAGAAAAATGAAAGTGAAGCTTTGAAGAGATGAAATAAGTACTTAGGTACCTACTACCTATAAAATAAACATTAAATTAATTTACACACATTGATTAGTTTTGAATAGTTTTATAGGTATCATTTATATTGCTATATAAATTAGTACTTATTTAAGTTTCTTACTTGCCCTACCTATTTAATAAAATGTATTTTAATAATTTTATAGATTGTTAATTGTTATAAATAATTAAATACTTTTTGCTATAATTTTTTATCGTTTATAGATTATAATATTTAAATATGTTTCTTTTAAAGATCAAAATCATGGAAAAGAAAAAATAATATTCAAACAAATTTAAATAAATTCGTTGAAAAAATATGATTTTTATTTTTTGGAACAAGCTTTATATTGTAGTTCTGTCATACATTTTTTTTTTTTTTTGTTTATCAATATTTGTTAAATATTATGGATATTACAGTTAACATTTACAACAATTATTATAAGACACTTTAATACAGTAATTAATTAAAACATTTAAATTAAGGTGTAGTATAACATGAAACGAATAAATGTTTAATTTATTTTTTTGCTTAGAGCAACTGTGAAGTGTGTAACTATAAAACTGCTGAACTTCTGGTGCAACCAACAACTGTATTGCCCTGGAAAATATTATTATTTTATATAAACTCATGGTATATGTTTGGTTATAAAAATACCAGTTGGTAATAATATATTTAAGAACTTAATCACATAATGCATCATGTGGTCCATGATTATAAACCAGTGTTCTGTAATATGTTACATAAAACTTTATTCACATCAATTATTTATTATTTATATTATTATAAAGGTACCTACCTAATATTTGACAATGTGATATTTTATGGAATTTCTGAATATAGTGTATGGCGATTTATCAATCCGGAATATCGCAGACACAGCTCCACGCCACATGTAAACGTAATTTACTAATTAAATACATTTAGGCGGTAAATAAATCCTAGTTTATTTTAAACATACTATCGTTAATTATATGTTAGGATATTTTTACTTCTCCTCCCACCACGTTAAAAATATGTTTTAGGGGGGAATAAAATAACATAGTTTTTTTATGTACATAATAATAAATCGACATCATATTACATAAATACCTTTTAAATCACCAATACCATCATTGTCACCCTCTTCAAATCATCTTGGATACACTTGATAATATGTTATTGTGTTCGATCAATAGTCATTATTTTGATTTTTAGCATGAAAATACACATTTCCGTTTACGGTGGCGAATGTTTATGCTATCACCATTAAACAATTATACATCAAATGTACCCATATTTTTTTAAAATATAATAAAGTAGGTTCTCACTTTATATTAATTGTAACATACCTTATTTGATAATGTACTAGGCTTAATTTAAATCTAACCGTAAGAATAATTGAATCACACGACAGTTCAACAAAAAAAGTTAAGATCACCTAACCTATGGTAGGTAGGTAAGAAACTTGTTGGACACCTGTATAGCTGAGATTTGTTGGATAGCATTTTAAAACTTTATAAATGGTTTTGATTTTGTTAGTACCTGTTACGTAAATTGTTTTCTTAATCTTTACTAGAAAATAAATTTCTTTATAATTAATTGAGTAGTTTTTAAAATTTTCTTATTCTAAATTCAAAATATATTTCTATAAGTAAGTACCTACCTAGTTCATGAACCAACTGAAAAATATAAAAAATACATAGTCACAATAAATTACTTTAATTATTGAAATATAAATAATGTATGTATATCCATATATCATAAAATATACTTATAGTAATATAGAGTGACAGACCTTAATTAAAAACGGAAGATATCTCCTTAAAAATATAAAACAGTATCATAAGCATAACTGCGGTGGCCTACCTAACCACGGGGGATATGAGAGATATAGATCCTCGTGAATTTTTTTAGGTTTTGAATAAAGAAATGAATCTATTGATTTTACAAATATAATTCCAGTTATTATAATCAATATTATATTGGATATAATAAATATCATAATTCATAACACATAGGTAAGACATTTTAGGTTTCTAAACATCAGTTTAGAACATCCATTATATCCCCGTGGTTTCAGTCCATCCGTTAGTTACTAGTACATAGTTATGATTGAATAAATTAAGATTTTATAAACCTGGTTCCATTCAAAATAAATTCATATACCTACCATAGTAAGTTAACTAACTCCAATAGTTTTTTTTATCAAGTTTTAATTAACTGCTTAAAAGTCTTCATTGGTTCATAAATTAGATTTTAATTATTAAATTACACACGTCAAACAAAAAAAAGTACAACAAAGTTATTGATAACTACAATTTAAACTAAAATCAGTATTATAACTAATTTATAACCTATTGTACAAAAGTACTATTATGTAAAATAAATTCATAAAAAATATCTTAAAAGTAAAAGAACACTGAGTAAACTAATTAACGTGGAACCGATTTGTGTGCCCGCATTTTGAATATTAACTGTTGGTGTTTCGGGTGCAATATATTTATCTGTTAATACGACTACTGATTGTGGTCGTAGTACCACTGGATTACCAGTTGAAGGAACAGTTGATACAATACTTCTAAAAACAAAAAATACAATAAATTTAAAAAAAAAAGCCGGTAAATGGGTGTCACTCTGCTGTACAGTAGGTAAAACGTGGTTAATTGTAATGGATTGTATTAAATATGAATTCAATGATATACTATCATTGCATTCGAAAAACGATTCTGAGCGGAGTCGGTTTATCAGCCTAGGATATTATTTTATATTATATATTTATATATTGTTATTATTAATACGGGGGGCGGTAAGTTGAATTAATATTATTTTCAAACAAGATAATATTTGTATACAATAATATACTTGAAAATGTTTCAAGTACCCATGAATAATATTTTTAAATTAGGTAAAACAAAACAACTAAAATCGATCTTATTGATTATTTAATATGGCGTAATTTTGTCAACATTTTAACCTTAAATAATTCTAAAAAAAACTATGTTCATATATTTTTAGATTTTGGTTAAAAATTAACAACCTACGTGGAACCTTGTTTTCCATTTTTAATTCTTATAGCTATGAACATTTTTAACATTTTTATCTACAAAATAATTTACAAAGTTTCGAGATCTTAATGAATTTTGTCAAAATTCAACTCTGTATTTATGTATCTTTTTAATATTTATCAACTCCAGTTGTAATAATATATCGGAAGCCTTTTATTAAATTATCAAGTTTATTGTCCCATCGAATAAAATTGTATTGACCTTTAAAAAAAAAAACTAAAAACTTGAAAATATCCATAAGCAACTTTTTTAAAAATAATATAAAGAATATGAAATGATAAAATAAACCTTTGGTGTGAAATTCAATTACCTACGGTTATTAGTTTATGAATAGCAACAAACTAAGAAAATGGTTGTTAATTTACGGATTTTAATATGTCTATAAATAGCTCAACATCAGTCAAAATGTTATGAAAATTCTTATGTAAACATTCAGTGAAAATTTAGTGATAATTCACTGGATTACCAGTTGAAGGAACAGTTGACACAATACTTCTAAAAACAAAAATTACAATACATTTTTAAAAAAATTGGGTATGTGGAAGTCACTCTGCTTTAAGTAGGTAACAAGTGATTAATTATTTTAATGGATGGTGTTAAATCTGAATTCAATGATATACTATCATTGCATACTTGAGAATGTTTCAATACCCACGAAAATATTTATAAATTAGACACAACAAAAAACTAAAATCGATCTTCTTGATTATTTAATATGACGTAATTTCGTCACCATTTTAACCTTAAATAACTATAAAAAAAACTATGTTCATATATTTTTTAGATTTTTGGTTAAAAAATTAACTAATTACGTGGAACTTTGTTTTATATTTTTAATTCTTCATATCAAAAATATGAAATGATAAAATAAACCTTTGGTATACATTTCAAGTACTTACGGTTATAAATTTATGAATAACAACAAAATAAGAAAATGGTTGTTAATTTACGGAGCTATAAATAGCTAAACATCAGTCAAAATGTTATGAAAATTCTTATGTAAACATTTAGTGAAAATTCAAGTTTTTGAGACAATTTTTTTGGAGGTATAAAACCAATATCGATTCCGTCGAAATCCACGTTTTTCCTTATTTTTTTTTTTTTTTTTTTTTCCTGGTGATTTTGAAAACCTCTCGAATGCACTCACTAGATTCACTTTCCAATTGGAAAAGATACTGAAGTATAAAACCGAAGGATTATTTCGGCAACATATCATGTAAGACGACATAAAAAAAATACACATTGTAAAATCAATGCATTCATCGCTCCGCTCAGAATTTAAAATAAAACTATACATTTATTGTAACGAGTCATTACTAATAGTAAAACATTTGTAAATGCGAAATTCTAATTACCCGGTGTTATATGCAGAATTTTCACTTCCTAAGTATACGTAAAGTTCTTCTGTGGGGCTCTTCATGATATTGGACAATATGACGGTTTCTGTTTCACTTCCAAAATTCATGACAACTATGTACGATTCACGTTCCAATAATGACCTGAAAATGAAACGATTAAGAATAATTAACGAAAAGATACAACGTGTAATATTAATTCAAAAATCAATTAATTCATTAACATTTTTATTACCTCTTTAATATATATATCGATTTGGTAATATTATACGTGTGAAGATCACCATATTTTAATGTATCGGTTTTCCGAAGTTGAGACATTTTTTTGTAAAAATTGTAATTGCTATTTGGTATTTTTTTCTGTGATTCGACGTTTAGTTTATAATAATTTGGATTCACTGGCAACCAAGGTTTCCCTTTGGTAAATCCTTAAAATCATTTAATACAATACAAATTATATTTAATTAGTCTAAAGTCCTTTTTATTTTTGTAACCAAAGTTATCACTATTTATAAATGCATTGGATATTCGGATTTTTGTTTTGTATAAATAAAATTGTAGTTGGTATTTTTTTCTGCGGTTCGAGATTTAGTTTATGTTAATTTGGATTGAAACATTAGGTTAAGCATAACTATGCATTTTTTTTACAGTGAAACCTTTAAAAAGAATTAACATGGTATATTAATGTTTATCAATAAAATTATAATATAATTTGTGCATTTTTAGATTATAAAATTATACATTTAAGGCCTTATCATTCAAGATAAATTAAATTGATAACGGTATATTTTATAATTTCTCTATACTATTGTATATTCAAATTTAAAATGTGTATGATTTGCTGTATAACCAGACTTCGTCCATGAAAAATATTAAACATGGCCCTATAAAGGTGTATCTCAGTTTTAGTGTAAGTACCTCAATAACAGGCAAATCGGCTATCGGCGTCGGTATACAATCTTTGGGAACTAATATTGTACTGGGATAGGTAATCTGCCTATGCCGGATTGGTCCGATGTTGAGGTGGGACATAGGATTATTTGAAACAATTGTTTCATGTTTGAAATGGGTGGGTGGGTGTATATTCGTAATACCTCAACACAATTAATATCATGGAAAATATCATAATTATAACAATTAATTATTTTGATTCAATGAATAGTGTTGATAAAAGTATTTAAAATATACAATATGCTCTAAATTGCTCCACAAACGAGTGTTCCGTCACTGGAATTGAATATATTACTTGGTATATTTTTAAAAGTGGTTAAAACTTTTTTTTACATATGAAATATCTAAGAACAATCTCATTGGCTTTCGTCAAAAGGTTGAGTAGTTTTTGAGTATACATATTAATATATGATTTTATGCAACAACATGCATTCATTTTTATATACTATATTTAATATTATAAAGATTATAATATAAAAGTCTCTTTGATTTATGTAACCAATGATAACACTATAAGAGAAAAAAATATTCGATTTTCACGAGCCAAAACTGAATTCCTGTGGGAGCCACCATCGTGCACCACCTTATAGCAACCAATATAGGTTGAAGAACCAAACTCTCCGAGTCTCAAGTAATATGTATGCAAAATATTGTCAATTGTAATTATATTGTACCTGCGTTTATTGAACTATCCCATTGCATTGGGCACCTTTCATCATCTCTGGATCGATCGGACATCATCCCTCCCTCATTATTAGGATCTTGTGATTGGTCTGGTCTCACATAAGTATTTTCCATGCCAATTTCGCTACCATAGTATGTAATTTCTATACCGGGGAGTGATAGTTTCAAAGCTGTAAAGAGTGGCACCATTTCAGGACTAAATTTGGTTGGTGTTCTTGGGTTGTCATGATTTTCCATCTTAAAAAAATGTATGATATACAATTATATGTATTTGAAGTTTGAACAATATTTATAAACGTGTAAAGGTATTGAAGTAATATTGTATGGTACTGAATATAATAAGATTATTAATTATTAGTGTCCGTACCTGTATCATATTTTATTTTGAATATCACATTTAATATTTTCTTATAAGTTTTATATTTTAAAATACTTACCGCCCAATTAGCCGCCTGATTTTCTGGCATATTATCTAGCCAATTTTTAACAATTGTGTCTATGGATGCAATTATATTACGTTTATCAACATTTCTTACTAATCCAAGGTTAAATGGTACATTAGCCCCAGGTTTCGTTGAATTGCCGTAGTATTGCATTAATACATCTATCGGTGAGTAGGATCGGTGCCTATATAACTGTTCAAATATAAAAAGTAATTATTACAATATTGTGATCTCGAAAAATGAAATATAAGTTACTACTTTTAAAGTTACATTCACCAAATATTATATACCTAGAAAATGGGATATTTTTATTTTTCAAATAATTATCGACGAATTCTCTCCATTCCTTAACAATTTCAATGGTTTCAGGTTGATTTGTTGTATAAATATGATCTAAACTATCAAAGTTTATCGTACATTCGTATTCGCTCATTAGACAAGGTTCATCAAGGAATGTTTCACTTTCAAATAAATGTCTAGTGGCGTCAATTCGGAATCCAATAACGCCTCTATCCAACCAAAATGCCAATATATCCTTGAATAAAAATGAAAAATAAATGTACCTACAGAGTGTATCAAAAGTCTTCATCTGATTTCAAAAATGTATATTTATTTTAAAAATGAAGATATAAGGGTGAAATAAAGTAAAATATATTCTTAAAATAAATAAGTTTTATTAATCAGTCAAGCATTAATACATGTTTTACTAACTTGCGATTAACCGTTTCTGAACTTTACCAAAGCAGTTCGGATGAAGACTTTTGAAACATTCTGCATATTGATATAATATAGAAAAAAAACTCGTTTTTTTATCATTTAAACACTACCATACTACCTTTAAGTTTTCCATTTCTAGTATAATTTGTTCGGTTCGTTTCAGTAAATCAATCTA